ATTAACCCAACATTCTCCAAACTGCCCAAAATGATACCATAATTTTGCCGTTTTTAAAAAGAGTCCAAAATGATGCCGTGCTCTTGCAGTACATTTACAGAGAAAAGTTTCTATTCCAATTTTACGTATGTATCACAAATTTGAACGTTCTATAACAACTTTCAGTTTTTGATAATTTTTAAATTTCTACGAAATGTCTGTAATATTAAAATATATTTACTCTGACAAAAATATGATTTTCTTCAGAAAATAATGATCCCTGCTTCAAATTCATGTTGTTTGATGCAAAGTTGATGTATCGTCGATTATTCAGGAGCGAAATTTATTTGAATTGATTGTTCCAGTACTCAAATGATACCAAAGTCATCCATCAAAATATCATCAAACTACTTTACGTATCTAACCAAAGTTTAAGATAGTTTTGTCGAATTTACAATTAGAAGAAATTAAAAATATAAGGAAATAAAAGTTGCAAAGGAACTTTAAAATTCGAGACGCATGTGTAAAATTGGAATAGAAACAAGTTTTCTCTGTAAACTTCTTTGAAATTCGAACAAATGATTCAATTTTCGTAGATTAATTTGAAAAAAAAAAAGCTTTCGACATGTAGTGAATGTCACTTGACTGCGACCGAGTAGGCCATTTTTCATCTTTTTCGAAGCAAAACTTAACGCCCAAGTCGAATTTCAAAATAAATTATTAAAAGTTTTTCCCGTATGATGCCAACACCAATTACCGGTTTTTTTATGAAACTTTATTGAGAACAATAAGATTCATTTGTGTTGAAATTACGCTACAGCCTTTTTTCTAACTCACCCACTATATCGAAATGGAAGAAATTAATTTGAATGAATTTGGTCCAATGCTGAGAGTAAGACATTGGGAAATCGAAGTACCTCAATTATATTTTGTTCAATAACATTTTAATCAAATCGGTCGAAGTGTGCCGTGTAAATTGGAACGCAAAACTTGCAGTATTTCCCTGGTCATTATGAATACATGATAAAAAATAAATTGAGTTTCCCAAATGCAGCCATGCAAATTTCCGTGATAGTAAGCCATCATGGGGTGTTTCGAAAGAGGTGAGCTGCTGGTGAATTTAAGCCGATTATATTGGAACATTTCGGAATTGATAAATCAGTTAAAGGTGTCTCTCCAGATATATAAGTAGAGTCATGGTTAATTTGATTGTGTGTCATGTATTGTAGTGTTGTTTGAATCAATCATTTCAATTTTCCTACTGGGTGTTTCTAAAAAATCGAATCCGGACTTTATCGTAACAGTATACTATGGTGGATTCGACCGTGTGATGACAACTGAGTTTATTCAAATTGTTTGTATCATATTCCAGATATCAGGTAGGTATAGTGTGAATAGTTGAATAGTTTACACACAACAAGGGCGTAATTTCCGCCCCCCCCCCTCCTTCCCATACGAAAATGAAGAATAAAAGCAATAAAGTTTCTCATAACATAGACTGAAAGGCATCAAGTTTTCCTACAGAGGTATTTCTTTCACACCTACCAAGGTACTTCATTCATGCACATTCAATTTGATGATTTTGAAATGGGTTCAGGTCTCAGAGGTGGTGATCGCGATTCAAATTTCAATAATACGCATTTGATTTTCTCCATGTAGATTTTTCAAGAGGAATCTATTGGCTGCCATTTATTGAACGTTTGTATTTAGAGTTGTCGACCCCCCCGCCCCCCACCCTACCAACAATGGTTTTTCTATTTACAAATATATTACGCATCTTCGGTTGAATTCTCCCTTCCACACACTAATGCGATGAGCAAAAACTATTATAAATATGTATGAAATTTCATGGAACGGGACTAGCGTGAAGAGGAAAGATAAACAAGTTTGGCACAAATGATCGATGATATTCTACATGTAGATTTTTTTCACGAGGAATCTATTGGCTGCCATTTATTGAACGTTTGCATTTAGAGTTGTCGACCTCCCCCCCACCACCAACAATGGGTTCTCTATTTCCAAATATATTACGCATCTTCGGTTGAATTCTCCCTTCCACACTCTAATGCGATGAGCAATTGGTCTATGACATTCGACCATCATTTATGACGTCATTTTAACGTTATATCTTAGGTCAATATGACGTCGCAGATTATCTAGTGACGTCAAATTGACGTCAGTGTGCTACCTGGGTTCGTAGAAAATGAAAAAATATCGAAAACTAAAATCTGTTATAGAACGGTCAAATGGACTGATAATGAATTATTAGCATTCAGTTACTCCACTGTGTCGATGGGGAGGGACCTACATCAATTTTTGCAACACTTCTCACGCTTTTTTTATGTGGATAATAAGTCTATGCGTTGTTCAGAATCATTGGATTTCTGAGCTCATTCCAAAACGTACCGTCACGGCCGCCATTTGGCGATACGTCGAATAAATGGTGACGTCAGTTTTTATGCTGTTTCATTATTCGTCAGATAATCTTCCATTACCAGTAATTGAGCAAGGTTGTCAAATCATGAATTATAATCAAGTTATGATATTATAGTTCATTCTTGACTTTTTCGGACAACCAGCATGTCCAAATATTTCTTATACTCAATAACAAGATATTTTGTGAATGTTGGAGACTTGGCAACATTGTGCTAAATCCTGAGAAATGACAAGACACCGCCCACAATCCGTGCGCCGTGTTGTCACGTTTACCAATTCGAATGTCCTCTAGTGTGAATCAATATAATTATTATTTACAGAAATATTACCAATACATAATTGAGAAATTATGAATCATTGAATAACTAATATTTTTTAGTTCCCAATCGTATATCAACATATAGCAACTGTGCTATAATCTGCCCCTACTTACGAAATCGTGACGTCAGTTCTTACTCGCGGTAAATTTCTAGCCGTTTGAAAATTACCGTGACAATATTGACGAATTCAGCACCTTGAAATCGACACAAATTTTTTTAAAAAAATATGAAATTGAAAGTTATTCGAGTGATGATACTATTTGAGAAATAAAAAAAATAGTCCACTTGCCTTTTAGAGACTCATATGTAAAATCGGAATAGAAACAAGTTTTCCTGTAAACTTTTTAGAAATTCAAACAAAGAAGCCTATTTGAAAAAAAAATGTACCTAGTCACGTGACCCCGACCGAGTAGTCCATTTTTCATATTTTTCAATGCAAAACTCAACGCCCAAGTTGAATTTAGAACTCAATTATTAATAATAGTTTTTCCCATATTATGCCGATTTCATGAATGACACTGCATGTAGATATCTTTTATATAGTTAAATCAGGAATTCCATGTGGACATTTTTAATACGCCAATGTTCTCAATATAACCTAACAAACAACAAATGTCAGAAATCTAGTTTATCCTCAGATTTGAATAAGGATGGAACTATATAAGTGTTTCACAAACACTTGAATGAGAGATGAGGATATGTCCGTACCCTGATGAGATGACAAATACATCAATTTGCATCAAGGGTATAGCCGATAGTACTGTTCCCTGATGTCCGGTAAGAAAAAGAGAATTGTAATTATCATTACCACGTCCAGGCTTTTGATGATTATATCAAGAGGAATAATATCTCAATGCTGTTGCTTCCTCTGAACATTTCATGAAATTATACAATCTGAAATATATTAATTAAATATCCAATATTCAACTATTGAACTATTCCATTCCATTGCACCATAGAGATTTCTTGCTCAAATATCGCGATTCTCGTATATGTATGGATTCTACTTCTTGTGTCGGTACTATGCAGTTCAACAGCTTCAGTGACAAGTGAAAGAAAACTAGACTATTCTAGCCCTGATGATCCTTTTATATGCCTACCTATTTGTTTATGATAAGTAAGTGCATTCCAAATAAGAATAGCAGGTGGCCCTGCCTCTGACGGAATGTTCACCCTAGACTTCAAAGTCATGGTCATGGTAATGATTGCCACTCCGAATTCTGGAAATGGGATGAGGACATCATCCCACGAAGAGAACTTCCTTAACGGCACGTCATGTCATAATATTAGACAGTCCAACGCTTCCATATAGTCTATAATGCTGTCAGCCTAGTTGGAAAGGACTATATCCGTATCCACATCAATATTAAGGCGTTGCCAATATGAGTAAATATAACTGGGTGACAAATAGTTCCGATTGGTATACTCCGTCATCTTCATGAAATAATTGGGGCAAAACAAATTTAGTTTTATGAATCAGATGGTGCATCTACTTGGGATAATAATTGGTGAATGTTAATTTATACTTACTCCAATAATCAAGATTTTGAATTTGGGATGAATATAAATTAACTTACAAGTTTTATGATGATGCTGAAATAAAGCCAAAGTTCGGAGCAATTGGTATTGTATTTGCCTAAATTCTCTAATATTAGTATGATCAAATCACATCTTTGCTACGTGGTGGGGTTCTGGGGCTATTGTACTGCAAAATTCTAATATTGCAAGAGCGAGCCTTGTGAAACATTTTTAATGCAAAAGTCCGAGAACATTCTAGACCAACTGTAATGTGTTTATGTATATTGAAAACATTCTGATTGTTACAGAAGAAATGCAAGTGTCAGATAAACAATACTAATTATGCCGAATTTTCCTCTCCCAATCCCAAGATCTGATTTGATGAAAAAATCATTGATTTTTGAAATGTATAACCACCAGCCGATAAATACAAGGCTAACCCACTGTAACAAAAAGTTCATAAGTGCCGCAAAACAGCTGATTTCTACTAGGCCATACTAAGACATTAGTGAATAATTCTGTGATATTTTATAACATAAAATACCCACTTTTTTGTGGTATTGGTCTGTTTTTTACTTATTTTATTTAAACAAGTTTTATATTTATAATGATTACACATTTACTGCTTTGACAAACGAGATTACTCTTCTTTGAACTAATAAAGCACATTTGATTTGATTTATTCAGCCCTGAATAGTACTTTCTGTGATGGAGTTCTAATGAAGAATGTATTAATAATGATGTTACCTTTGGTTAGCACCAGAGAAGCGCCTATGATCATCACGAGATGTACTAGGTTGAGCAGTTTGACTTTCAGAGACACTACGGTTCCTCTTTGCATTCTGTTTGTATTGGTTGCCTCTTCCATGGGACTTGAATATCTCTTCAATCCTCGGCTGAAAACATAAAGACGGATTCATTTCAAGTACACTAATTATGATCTAAATTTGGATAAATATTTTTGAGGATTTATTCATCATCATCAAACAAAATAGATGAGATGCAGAACAGAAGCAGGAACAGAAACAAAAGAAGTAAAAGAACAGTCAGGCAACCAATGTAGTCCAACTAAATATACAGGGTGGAGCATTAGTGCGTCGGATCTCGATTGCTCGAGTTCTATGATAGCTATAAAACTTGATTCAAAAGCTAATGTGAATGAGACAACATGGTCCATAACAAGAAATTATTGCCGCATATACAGGGCGCACTGAAAAAAATCTAGAGGGTCGGAATCATTTCTTTTTAATGCAATGCCCTTTATATAAGTACATTTTTTGAAGCATCCTTGTGACCTTCATCCACCCCTTCAATATCGTTGACTATATCTCGATCATGTCAAAGTTATGAATTTTTTGTTGAAATGTCAACTGCAGATGCATACCGAAAAAATCACTGTCGTGATCACCAACAAATATATGGGGTGTTATGTTTGAAAATCTCGGGAAAAATCCCTTCGAAAAGTTCCGAATTGAAGAATCATTATCAGCCACCCTGTATAATTTGAGGGTAATAAAGATCTCCAGAAATATCACGCATCTTTTATCAAATAATATGATTATTTTATCTCAGATCTCATAATAATTTTGACCACTATGCATTAGCAGATGACATTATTTCGATAAAAAAAAAATCATTACTTTGATATGATAGAGATATAGTCAACTATATTATAGGGGTGGATGGAGGTCCCAGAAATGCTTAAAAAATGTGCTAATATACATGGTACTTCATTTAAAAATAATGATTCCGATCCGCTAGATTTTTTTGGTGCGCCCTGTATATTTGGCAATAATTTCTAGTTATGGACCTTGTTGTATCATTCACATTTGTATTTGAATCATGTTTCTAGCTATCATAGAACTCGAGTAATCGAGCTTCGACGCACTAATGCTCCACGCTGTATATTTAGTTGGACTACTTTGGTTGCCTGACAGTTCATTTACTTCTTTACTATTACTATTATTATTGATGAAAATTTTTTGTGTTGGTTTTCTTAGCCATTTTCTACACCCCGTGTATCATCAACAAGTTGCTCTTCAACCTGTGGATTGTACAGCGGCCAAGATGGTATTATACAACTCTCTCATCTATGATACGGTATTGCGTTCTGGGAAAGCTGTGATGACAACATATTAAACAGTATACTCGTCCTACAGAAACGAGCTATAAGATACGGTAACATGTCATTTGATCCATGACCATTATATCCGCGACAATATATTTATGGCCTTATATCCGCATATGTCAACGACTATGCATCATTTTGTTTTCGATCTATTCTTCTCACCTATTTGTAGACATTGCAGTGATCAGGAACGAAAATACCCGAACAAAATCAGCACCCGAAACAAGCGTCTAGCTGCACATTTCCATCAGTGACTCTCTGAATTCTCGCGCGTACATGACGCCACTGCAATATCTGCGAGGCTATCATTTTTTCAAAGATATAATTTTTACAAGTAGAATGGTACAGCGAGATGTGAACCCGCTCGCCCCTTCGGGGCTCGTGTTCATTCTATGCATAGGTCGACTTTTTTTTGTTCACAGGTAGTTTATTTTTCGTAAATATACTTTCTAGGACGGCCTAGTGAGGTTAAATTATTTACTAAAAGTTGTCTTCCTTGTTCTCACGAGTAACTTTCCGAAAAATATACTTTCTAGAAAGAAGATTCATTTATAGGCCGAATTATGTTAAATTGTTCAAGAATAGCAGCTCTTCTGTTCACTCAAATGAATTTCACAAACGTATATTTTCTAGGAACAAAGATCATATATATAGGCCGAGTAAGGTTAGATTGTTTTGAAAAAGTAGTTTTTTCTGTTCAATCAATTGATTTTCTGAAAAATAAACATTCTAGGAAGAAAGTTCATCGAGGCGGAGTGTGGTTACAATAGCAGATACTCTAATTTCAAAGTGTCAAATCCATACATATGATACTCCTTACAGAAAATATAAAGCCATTCCAAGAGCAAATACCAATGTAGTGAAAAATACTATTTACCTCAAAGGTGTTTCGGAATATCATGGAGAATAATATTTTGGAGTATTTTCTTCACTAAGTTCGAGATCAAATATACACAAGGCAATATACAGATCCATTACAAAAGCAAAATTTCACAAAAAAAAATCCCAATAATAAGAATCAAATTTAATTGAAGAAATGGTTTCAGGAATTTTGCTAGCTGACCTAATAAGCCCGCCAGGTTACAGTGTGTGCAAATTTTAAGTTCAATATGCAAGTAACCAACTGAAAGAGTTGCAGCATATGATGAAAACCAGGAAATTATACCTCTTCAATGTCTTGAGTACATCAATGATTGGAAAACAAATTTTCCAAACAGCTGCTCATAGTTAAACTAGCATAAAAATGAATGTACTTTTGCAGATGATACTATACTGGCGTATAATGTATAATGACACATCATTGGATAACATGAAAATAAAAGTCAATGAAGATCTGATATTATATAAAAAATGGCTACTACATAATAAGCTGAAGGTTAATGAGTCGAGGTATGTGTGTATATGATTTTTAAACAGAAGAATACTAACGTGAATGAAATAACTGTAAAATTTTCAAAAGATGTGCCAAAATATGTGTCCTATGATAGGTGCAATCTAAAGGTGTAGAACCTACGTGGATGCTAAAGCAAAATATTGTATGTATAATGCATACTTCCCAAGCATCTATAGATATATGATAACAATATGGGGAAAACATGGAACAACATTTTACAAAATGCTACAAAACGAGGTGGTTAAAGTTTTATTCAATTAAGACTATCGCATGTCTACAGAGATTGTATATATAAACACAAAGCTAGATAAATTGAAACTTATTCTCAATTTTGAACAATGTAAATTTATATACAAACTGGTACATGGACAATTGAAATCTAATACTGAAATATCTCATAGAAGAGAAATACATTCACCCATAGATAGAGCAGTAAAATCATATAGGTAATGAGGTACCAGTGACTCTAAAGAATACTGCAACATACAATATATATAAATCTCTACTGAATAGCTGGTGTTTGAATAAACTTCAATCACATAATTAGCAAATGTATGTAATATTATTGTTGTCATGTCAACGGATGAACTGTAAAAATAGTATTTATCATGAACGTAAATAATATTGCATTGCAAATTATACATGTAAATGTCAATTCATGATCTATGATCCCGCGACCTTCTAACCGAGGCTAGGAACCAGTTTTGTTACTGTTGGTATGTAATTTATGTAATAAAGAATAAAGTATTTCAAAAACAAAAAAAATATACTACCTAATATTCTAATTTGAAATTGAACTCAACATGTAACAACACTAGTAATACGATCAAGTCATAATTGAAGTAGATGCCATTGTTCGAAGATGGAATTGCTTCTGGTGAAGATTTACCATACTTTCACCCCATTATACTACTGAGAAAGGATTTTCCCTACACTGTGACTTTGTGAATTCAGAGAATCAACCAAACTCCGCAATATTTTTTTAGATATTCATAGTATAACATATAACAAATGTGTAAATAAATATTTCAATTCCCACCTAGCAAAAATAAATATAAATGTTTAAGTTTCATTGATATTGTGTTACAAGGTGTTTTGCCTTAGCAACATAGGAAACATCAAAACATTCGCTTGCACCTACATGTCGAAACTCTCAAAGCATTTGATCTTGAACAAAAGAAAATGTACCAAAGCTTTACAATGCAAAATCTCACCTCAACAACACGAAAATCTTCTACGGTCTTGAAATTTGACAAGTGCTTGCTGAGAACAGAATTAACTGTTAGGTGGCTGCCGTGCTTGTAGTACTTCAGGAAAGCCCAGAATTTCTCCAAACCGTATAACTGCCCGTTCTCATAATCCTTCACAGTCTCCTGCTGAAAGTCTTCGTACAAGTGCGGCCTGAATTTCACCTCCAGTCCATAGGAGTAGAACCGGAAGAGGCATTCCAAGCCATATCGATATCCCTGTTCTGCATCTTCGAGAGCGAGAGTTTTGAATTCATTGTACATGGTGCGGTTGAAGTTTTCCCTCAAGAAGAATGACCAGAAGCGGAAAAGTGTGTTCATCTCGTTGGATTGGCCGATACCAAATCTTTTCCTTTCTGAAAATCGAGAACAGTGATACAATTTTCACAAACACGCGCGCAGTGTAGCGGAAAAGAGTGTATGAGTGTCATATTGGGACTTTTTCAATAACTTGGTTCTTTCTATATTGCTGAAGTGATGCTCTTTCAATGTCAACAGTTGTCAGATTACATTAACAAAACCGCACCATGCCCCATGCCACCATGCCCCACTCTGGGGCGACAGGAAAAATCTATCTTTCAAGATATAGTTGCATGGAGGAGACATGGAATGAAGAAAATTGAAAACAATAATTGAGTTTTTCCAGTTGAAGAAAATTCCTGAAACCAAGTATAAAAAATCATTGTTTCAGATTATTGTCAATGGTAGTCACGGGAATTCCAGAGCGTTCTGACATTGCCATCAGGCTTCCATTTCCTTTCCTGTGAACTGTAACAGGAGTGCCTAAAGAATCGGTTTTGGGTCCCTTCTTATATACACTACTTGTGAGAAGTCTAGAAAAAGCACAACTGAATGCAAAATACTTTACTTTTGCTGATGACTGAACTAGAAATGAGGGTAAACAATGATTTGGAGTAATACCATGGATGGTTGATAAAAACATGAATTACAAATTAATTTGAAAAAAAAACTACTTATATGCTATTCATGCAGAAAAATATGAACTCAGTTGTTATACAAATAAGAATAGGGAATGACATCATAAATAGAGTGGACACTACCAAATATTTGGGATTATTCTTGGATAAAAACATAAACTGGAGCATACATGTTCAGCACATAGAAAAAAAGTGGTGCCAATATTCAACACATAGAATTTAAAATAAGGTAGGGAGTGAAAGTTTCATACGATTTCAGTTACAGAACGTCAACCCATGTAGTTTATACATACAGAAACTGGTTTTCTTCAAATAGCAGAAATATTAAAAATTGAGCAAAACGATTTTTTGTACAAAATGATTAATGATAATTTCGAATGTAATTCGCAGTTAGAGATGGTGAACAACATACACTATCATGATACCAGGAGACAAAACACTGTATACATAAGTAATGTGAGAACAAAGCTTTTAACAGCCCACTGAACGAATGTATAAAAACAGTCAACAGTGTGCCACAGTATACTCGAGATATTCGTAACTAGGAAATTTGAAAATTAAATAAAAATGTTTGTTCAAGAGGAAGATTGATAGTTTTTTATGGGAAATGTAAAAAGTATTCAGAGTAGTTATTATGTGTGAGGGAGTTTTAATATGGATTTTTTGTATTTTCTTCCAGGACCAGCACTTGCATGCTGATTAGGAAACAACTTTTGTTCAAATAATTCAATGCAAATTTTGATTAGGCCATCTCGAATTTCAAAACAAAAGTAGGACAGGAACATGAAAACCGCAAGACTCTATCTTCAATGACAACCAAGAAACTTGGCAGTCTCAACGAAAATGGGATGCACCGTACATACCTTTTAGACACTTCTGCCTGAACTTGTGATAGCCCTGTTGTGTGAAGTTGTTGTCCTTGAGAAGAGCATGTGATGGGTGTTGAAAGTTGGGTAGAGCTTGTGGAACACTTCCATAACTGCCATAACTAGTGCCCAAATGAGCATCATTTGGACTGGTACCGAAACTACTACTGCAAAAATAATCATAATCAAATTTCCTGTTTTTTTTGTGAAACATTACAAAAATATTTTATCAAGATTTCATAAAGATTAAACATCACAATGAGATTTTTTATTAGATGACTTCAATTCCTTTTTGAAACTCAATTCGATGACATAACATAAACTTCGATTTCAGTGTGATAATTCAATAGTTTCTTGCATGGCAAAACTACTAGATCAATTGAAAAATTCATGCATCAAAACTATCATCAGTTATTATCTGGAACCCCTCACGAGATATACAAAGAACTAGAACCATCATCCCAAATGAATTTGATATCAACAATATAGTGTATATCTTTATAAAACATGTTTTGAATAGGACTGTGAAAGATATCAGAAAATATCTCATCAAGATTAAACACCACAATATAGTATATTATGTAACAAGTGTTATAAACGTCATTTTAGTACCGAGTATTTTAAGCACGAGCGCACAAAGTGGCTCAAATTGGGCGCTAGACGGCGCTGAAGTTACGTTCTAATTGTTTAACTTTGAAACGGCTTATGAGATTTCACTCAAATTTGGCATAACTTTATTGTTTGGTAAAAGTCCATGGTTTCTAAAAGTACAGTGAAGTTGTTAATACTAATAATATTCGAAGTCATCTCCACAACATTTCAATGTGATCAAACAGATCAAATCATATATATGTACATCCTCAGCCTTATGAATTATAACTACATTATATCGTGGAAATGAAAAAGTTTCCCCCTTGGATAACAAAATGAAACCCAGTCTTGTAATTTTTATCAAGATTAAGATGTAACTGAACTTTTTTCATTCCCATGATATAATGTAGAGATAAGTGATGAGGCTGAAGATGGACATACATGTCCGAAACATGTACCGAATAATTTGATCTGTTAAAATGTGGTGGAGATGACTTTGAGTTTCATTAGTATTTGTAGCTTCATTGGGCAATAAAACCCATACAAAAATATGATGATGAATATGGGCGTTGAACTTGATTTTTTCATTAATGGACTTCCAAAACTTTCACGCCAATGGAAAGGAAGGTGTTGGAATATGGAGTAGTGTAACTAATTTACTACAAAAAAGGTACTCCTGATATAATTCGATTGCTCTCATGACAAAATTTCAATTAAATTAGATTATGGCATCAGTCAACATAAAAACATTCAACAGATTTGTCATGAAAATTGTTCAAAATTTTCATCATTTTCACGTATACAAAGATTAATATGACCAAAAAACTAAAATATGCTATCAGTTATTTTTTTACTGAGTAAGCCAGAGCCGTCTAGCGTCCAGATTGAGCGACTTTGTTCGAGGTGAGTTGCCTGTATCCATTATTTTCGTCGAATAGATCTTTGTATATGTGAAAATGATGAACATTTTGAACAATTCTCATTATTTATTATTATTTATAATTATTAACGGGTGAACCCCTCATGACATAGCTGTTAATCGTTTAAATGTTGACTGATGCTTTGAATTACAGAAATTCGATTTCATTTCATATTAAAAACGCCTTTTCTTTTCATCGGCGTAAAAGTTTCAGATGTTTATTTACTGAAAAAAAATCAATTTCTATGCGCATGGAATGATATTCATCATGATTATAGAATGGGTTTTATTGTCCCATAAGGCTATGACAACCTACCAAATTAGAGTTGAATCTCATGAGACATTTCAAAGTTATGAAGTAAAAACGATTAGAAAATTGTAACTTCAGAGCCGTCTTACGCCCAAACTGAGCAATTTCAGACTCAGGTAAATTTGCTCTAGTCTAATTGTTTTGGTCTGAGGAATATGTGGTAAGTTTTTCAGGAACGCCATGTAGAATTAATATTCCATGGATAAATATTGATATGATAGATAAGTAAAATGAAGCACCCTGTATTATCTTTTGCTGAAAAAAGTTATTCTTACCCAGTTGATGTGGTACGTAAACGATGCTCTCTAACATCCATAATCCAGCCAACGTGCTGCTCTACAGGAGGATTGCTTGAGTGCCTGGTTTTACGCTTTCTAGGAGTACTAGGATCAACTCTTTCATCTTTGACGACGGCATAGAACCTCGGAACGTTCCTGTGGCGAGCATTAGCTGGTTCTCTCCTTCTGCTACTACCAGATTGTGGTAATGGAGCATCCAGCTATGAAAATATTTTTTTTCAATATCTGATCAGACTTCATAACAAGGTCGCGCAAAATCAGGTTGCCAGTTAGTATAATAATGGGTTTACTGAAAAATCAGGTATTTAAACTTTAAACCTCCATAATTTGTTTCATCACTGACTAGAAATAAAACTCAAAATAAAACTCAACGACCACGATATGAAGTAAGTAATATATTCCGAAGCATTATTCATTCCATTATTTCAAAGTTTCAGGCTCACTCACACAAACCCAGCTTCAATATGTCAATTGATCTAAAATTGTGAACAGATTTTTCTCATCATTTAGTTTTCGCAAAATTAAAACCCTTCAACAGTTTTTGCTTAGAAAATAATGCAGAATGACGAACATGAGTTCCCCAAACTTTCCGACCACGACCAATCAGAAGAAACGGTTCTAGCTATTATGAAGTAAATTCGAATTTGTCAATAGACGTGCTCCAAAGCGCTCATTCGATCCCGCCAAATTTCACATTAAAAAAAAATACAGAAAGTTTGGTTGTTTCTAAGTTTTTGAAAATATTGAGTGAATAAGTTGTTCTTCTTTCACTCGCCAAATTTTGACAGATTTGAACAATTTTGATTAGTCTCGTTTTTTTTCCACCCAAAAATTGTTGGACTTACTGGATCATCATAATACTGCCAAAACCATTTGAAAATGTACTATACTAATCTGCTGGAAATTTTGAAAAATTATCATAGCTATTTGATGCAAATTGGCTCTACTTTCAAGTTCAGAAGCAAAATGAAAACAACATTTTTATAACATTTCTGGAAATTTTGAGAATTAACTGACCTTCTGTATTCTCCCAAAGTGAAATATGACGATGAAAATTGTCGTCATTTCGAATTATATTCAATTCCAAAACTTTTGATGAACATCAAATTAACGTGGACTGAGACAATGGTGACAACGTATGTTATCTGTTAACAAAATCAAATCAACTTCTAATAGAGGATTTAATTCTGCGCCACCTTTGATAACCATAAAATATCTTCATAAAATGTTGCACTACTCTCTCCTTTGTATTATAATAACGTGCTTACCATTGGTGGAGGTGGTGGTGGTACTTCAGGATTCTGTATTTTAGGTGCTGGAGGTGCCATTTTCTTGAAATCTTCCTGACTAATGATGGTGACAGTCTTATAACTCTCCACTGAACTCCGTTCCTATATACAGTTCCAAAGATTTCATTTATGTTTTATTCTCGAACTAGAGAGAAACATTGTTGAATTTTTATGATCTTTGAATTATTTTATTAATTATATCACAAATGCAGAACTTTATATTGTTAGTGCTTGTTATTGTGACATTTTCACGTACACAGGGTGATTCATTAAGAATAAGAAATCTCTGAACTACAGATAGTAAACACCAGAATGTTGCAGATTCAGGGTGTTCAAGGCAAAACCTCATTTTACATTTTTCCTCAACTTTGGTCGAACATTTACTTATGAATTCTATTTCTTGTTGGTGTTTCGAGTGATTGTCATAATTGATTGATGTCTTTTTTCCAGTATCGCTTTGCTTACTTTATAATTTGAAATTATTAAAATATTATAAGTGGAACATACATCTCAAGAGCGAATGAAGCAAACACCGTTGAAGCTAGACACTTTGAGAAAAAGAGTACATTTTTTATGTGAAATTGAACAGGTTCTTAGATTTTTCACTTATTTCGATCAAAGAAGATATGTAATTTACCGAGGTAACAAGAGTGCCACAAGCGCTCACAAAATAGTTGCAAACTTGTATTCCTCACATCAGAAAACCTGAAACTACAAAATTTCATGTTCATACTGTTAAAACTTACAGTTATTGAGAAATTTTAAAATAGAATCTCCTGAACCAGCAACATTTTTATTAGGCATGTTGGGCTAAATCTTAATATTCATTTTAGTGGTTACTATCTGTAGTTCAGACATTTCCCATTCTTAATGAATCGCCCTATAAATATTTCCATGGACAATCACCCTGTACAAGCAGACATCAGACAACAAAAAACTATCAGGTGATATTTTATGAGGATATCAAACCTTACCAGTATTACTCTTTCGAAATTCTACATAAATAATAAAAATTTTCATCTATCCACTGAATCATTCAATGTTGTCAACTTGTTGAATTTCTTCATGAAGGAAATTCAGATTATTTTATAATTTCGTTTTGATCCTCATTTTTTATTAAGTGGATGATATCGATGATACTTCAGTTTCTCCTCTATTAAGGGGTAGAAGACGAGGTAAATATTTGAAATTCCAGAACGGACTCCGTCTTTCTCACTAAATATCTCCGCCTCGCTCGTTCGATAGGCGCATCTTATAACCGCGAAGGAGACATACGAGGGGATGTCCAAGATTATTCGAGAGCGAAATATAGAAAAGTGAAGGGTGAATTTTCAAAGCTGCTCCTCTGTATGATAGTTAGAAGGGTCATTTTATAGCATGAATGCGAAACTGCTGTTCTTTTTCTCACGATGATTTCATCAAAATTCTCTTTATCAATTCACCATATTTCTCGACTTTTGAGTGGAATAGGAATTTCCACAAGGATACAAGGATTATATTGTTATTGAATATATTCATCAGTGTGCTGTATATTGACCGATATGGGGAAGATGCTATTAGAAACTATATGACAAATTCGATATACAGGGCAATTCATGAAGAGACTCACATAGCCAAATGGTGAGTAGGGGAAAACAAAACAAGTTGAGATTCCATGTATGAAAGATTCTGTTGGCCTTCAATAACGAAGATATTATGTGAAATTGCCATATTATGATTTCAATGGCCGACATTTCAGATATGATTCATCCCAATTAGGCAGTGACGTTTCTTTATTCAAGATGGTATATTATAAAAAAATCAGATACGAAAAATTTCATGTTCTCTTGTTATAAAGAGAAAGCTCATTTTGTGATCAGTTTCCTAGAAAAATTTCATCAGATTCAGGAAGATCAGACATAATGCCATAAGAACTGCTCTTCAATTTGCACGACACACGTTGATCGGTTCATTAAACAATATGAAACAAGAACGTTCGAATGAATTTTCAATTTGAACCTAGCTGATGATAACTCTCTCATTTCAACTGGATTGATGTGAATTTATGATAGGAATCGACAGATATAAGTAGTTGATAAAAAAACACAGAACTGCTTTTTTGGTGATTTGAAATGTTCGTTCTTGATCGACATCGTGACTTGTTTCTGTTTACAAATATTGCAAATATCAATGAAGTAATAATGAAATAGTATAGGCGGTGTTTTTCATCATTTGACGTGACGTGACATCTGTTGACATTCCGAAAAGATGGGTAGGAACTGGTGAAATTATGGCATGAAGATTTATTAGGATCTTCGGTAGAAGTCCATATTGCTCAAAGTGGAGTGAAATATTTCACAGGAAGGAAGGAATGCTCGAAGATAATAGATATTGTTAAATGCCTATGCTCATGGTCAGATTTTCATGTTTTATCCCTTGACATTGACTCTATGTCAACGTCTTGTCCATGTCTTCAATTGACATAATTTTCAGTGTTTTCTAACCAAATTAGTTTAGATTTAAAACACGTGCTGGCTGCTTGCCCCATCAATTTTATTGATATTTGCTTTAAATAATGCCATCATAAGGGAACGGGGAACCCCTTTTTTAAAAACCCGCTAGTTTATGGTGTTGTCAGATATTAAATTGTTTGACAATGCCCTTCATATACCACTTTGGGTATATGAAATGTTCTTTAATAAAACATAGTACACGCTCTCAGGGCACGGGGCCCTTCATTTATTGAGAACCCGTTTATTCAATATTCATTTTGGAACTCTCGACTATGGGCATTGACAGAAAATAATTTTTCAACTCCAAGTAAGTCTAGCATAAAATAGGTAATCCTTTCATTTCAATATCATTTGTTTTTGTATTGTAGACTTTTCGATTAGGCTGAAGATGGTCTTTTATAAGACCGAAACATGTCCCTCATGATTAGTTGAAAATATCATTAAAATTTGTGGAGATGACTTCGAGCATTCCTTCCTTCCTGTTTATTAGGATGTTCTGAATATTCGAGATAATTCTGTCGCTTCCTTGTTCACGAAAGTGTGCTGCTGGGCAACACCACGACGAGTGGTATTTCAACAATGAAAGACAGAATCATGAGAACATATTCAGAACGGAGTTGTAATTTGCTAGAGAGAGAGAGAGAATTTCTTATAAATGAGCGATTCATATTCTGACGACAGATATAATTATTTTATGCCAAACTGACAGTCTTTGCTCCGCTATCCATGGTTACATCTTTGAAAACACCAACGCTGATAGACCAATCAGAATTGAAAGACCGCTTGTGTTTTCCCGATTACACACGTTGTGATGTGATTGATCAGATTATGTAATAAATGAAATTATAGTATATTGTTTAACGAGCACGGAATGATAGTGATTTCCTACGAGAATGAAGTTTGCAGCATGAGCCATATTGGCGAATGCTGCCATAATTTTTCTACGGCTATAATAGATAACAGCGACATTTTCGATTTCGTCGTCCTGTAGCCATTTGATTTCCTGTCAAGTAATGCTCATCTATTAGACAGCGGTGTCATTGCTCACATTTGACATTCGATGAGCGATGAGATTTTTTTGAAATAATAACACAATGGAGTCATTGTGATATCAGATACGAAAATAATATTGATGATATACAAAGTACCTCATTGACGTATCGAGCACAGTAAAACGAGAGCAATTGTGTGTTATAGCCGTAGTAAGGTTTTACTCCTATACATATTCTTGAGTCTGTAAATCTTCTATGGTATTGAACATTGCAAACATTTGAACTTTTTCCATGTTCAGCATTTGAAAAATAAAGTGACATCTTGAGTGCAAGAATCACACGTCACATCATGAAATGAAGAATAGGGCACGACTACTAATATCTAGAGTCCCTGTATATACCTTAGACAAGAGTCCGGACACAAAACTGACTGCTGTTGGGGTTTTCAATATTTTGTTTTATTTGGTTTGTCCACCTGACAAAGTGACGAAACACCATAGTCGTCCCGCCCGCTTTTTTTAATTATTTCGAATTTCTGTCACTGTCACTTTGAAATTCTATGACCGCCAAAATTTAGCATTTTAAATTATTTCAATTTCCTGCTGCATACATTTATTGCAACAATTCATTAGAAAAGGGATTCAAGTTATTATCATTATTTAATAGTTATTATAGTTAAAATAGCCCTATTTCCCACTTCTACCTACGGCTATGAACGGTTTGACAAATAATCTAACCCTCAAAATTGTTTCTGACAATCATTGATACTAGGGGAATTGAAAAGACAGAGCTCGATTTAAATATATGTCTTATTCCTTTATTCAATCATCAATGCATTTTTTGAAAACAGACAGGGACTCTACTAATATCTATCTAGAATTTCGATCAAGAACTATAACATTGCAAATCATCAAAAAAATCAGTGTTAGTGGTACTGTGCTTTTTCTCGTTCGCTCTCTTCTGTGAATTTTTACCCAACAAAAATGTACAAAAAATCTATTTACATGAATCCAGTTGAAAGTACTGTTTACTTCATCAGTCAGGTCGAAATTGAAAATTCATTCAAACTTTTTTGTTTCATATTCCTTCATTGAACCGGTCAAAGTGTCGTGCCCTGAAAATGAAGAGCAGTCCTTATGGCATTTCGTCAGATCTTTCGGATTCTGATAAAAATTCTCGCGAAAAGTGATCACAAAGTGAACTCTTTAGAAATCAGTAAAACATGAATTTTTCCCATGTCCGGATCTGGATTTTTTCCATAAGGTGCCATATGGAATAGTTCCGATAGAGAAACGTAGCTGCAAAATTTCAGCAAATTACGATGAGTCATATTTTCTGAAATGGCAATTTCACATCGTAGTAGATGGAATTTTTTTTTCATATACAGCGTCCCTCACTTGAGAAAACGCTTTTCTCTTTCTATATCTTAGTTATTAGTCGTGCGATTTTCATCAAATTTGGACTGGTATTCTGTATTTGGGGTTCTATTGAAATAAAACGGGGTCGATTTTTCATGAAAAGGCATCTTTCAACAGGAAAAAGTATTGATAGAGAAATTTGACATTTGCGACTAAGAACTTCCGAATTGCATCTCATCAGAAGTATTCATTACTCACCCTGTGTATTATAAATGATGTAAATGATTTTCGTAATAACAGCGAGAACACAATATGATCAGATCGACTATCGGTGATTTCGACGCATGTATTACGCTATTCAAGACTCGATAACATATATAACCGCCATCGCATATCAACATAAATAGATATTTTGAATTGACTCGGCCGTACCAGTAGCCTGACGAAGCTACTGTATTAGCGAAACATGTCATGTGTTTGAGAATTTTGTGGAAATCTTATCGTTTCTGGAGTTTTCACATAAATAGATACCTACACTGGTACGCGTGCTTCCATGACGCGAGTCTGCAGGTTTACTCTTATCCCAGAAAGTGCCTAACTGGCCTATAGAAATTATCGCTCCAAAAATCAAATAATTTTTCATTATTTATATTTCAGCATTCTCCACCATCATAAGTACATGAGTTGCATGAACTTTTGACGCATTCGCGTTGTCATTATGATTGTCATTTGGAATTAAATGTCAAACAACTCAAGCAAGTGAGATATAAACATAGACCCACTTGATTATACCCAAGTACTACGTGTTTTTATGGGCCAAAAATTTGTTATCATGATAAAAAGAACGTGTCTTCATTGGTTGAGATCTGTATCATGATAGAAATCCGACATAATTAATTCGCTTCTTATTGTAGCATGTAAATTTTCATTACTGTATATTTTGTCTGATTCTATAATATTCTGTAATGCTGAGCACATCTGACAGGATATTTTGTCACAATAACATGGTTAACATTTTTCAATAACATAAATTGAACTCAATCTGCTTCATATTATTTAATTATTCTCAAACCTGATATGTGGATACACACCTGAGATTTCACACTGTACATAAAATAAAAATACAATTTCTATAAATACACTGATATCTCTTGCTATATCTGCTTTGTTGTGATCCAAGTAGAAGGATGATTCGGATGGTTTTTACAGAAACTTATCTGAAAGAGATAAATAGGTAATATAAAGTAATATGAAATACCATTTCATAGACATTCTCATACTCACTTTTCACACGGCTATTTCCACTTGAAACTTCATCACAGTAGGACGATAGGTATTGGATTTTCCAGGAATGCTGAGGCGTATGGTTTCACTAGGAATTGATCAATTTGAATCAATTAACTTCGTTTGGCATTATTTTCTTGATTGATGCATTTGATAAATTCAGGTTGATGTTTTGATCTTGATCATCTGTTATTTCGCTTTACGTCAATTAGCTGTCGGTCATGACACCATGTCAACAGTGTCAAACTTGTCATGCGCCAAACGCCGATTCGGATTGATATATCCTTAGATCATCATCGTCGAACCAACAAGCCGAGTGATCGTGAAGAAAGGTGTGACGTCATTTTAGTCATCAATTCTGATTGGTTCAGATAGTCATCTGGGAAGAATCAAGTCTCTGGAGGGAGTAGCGATAACGTCTTTTATTTTGGATATTCAAATTTTCCGCCAATTTGAAAAGCGGAAACTGTTAAGTTGTTCTCGAAGTTTCTGGAAATTTGGAGAAGGGACTTCCTTTCTGGTCGTGAGACAAGAGCTCACTTCAGAAAATTCTTCGTGGTGGTCAAGTGCCATTTTTGTGGTGTGAACCGGCTTCTGAGGTCCTGTACCGCCTGGCGTTCTGGATCACATCAGGATATCCTGGATTTGCTGCTGATCTACAAGGACTGCTGGACTCTACAGATTTTTTTCTGGTTTTGGTTTAAGAGGCAGGATCTTCATGGTTCATCACCCAGGCAGCCACGTGCCTACCTGCATCGTCATTACGGCCATTTCAATCCCCAACCCTTCATAGAAGGTGAGTCTCGCTTTATTTCCACGTTTTTTCTCTCTGCAGTCCAGAAATTCAGAACCTCATTTTCATGAAATATTTAAGGGTTTTTTCACCGGGAGTTTTTCACCGGGAGATTTCTACCGGGAGTTTTTTTACCGGGAGTTCTACAACGGGAGTTATCCTACCAGGAGCACTATTCTTCCCAGGAGTCATTGCTCGACCAGGATCTGTTAATTCTACAAGGCCTTTGGTGGCCATATAGTAGTCTGGAATCTGGAATCTGGATATCGTCCCCTGTTTGTTCCTGATATGATGGATTTTCAAGGTGGAAATACGACAACTCTGTCAATGTCATCTTACATCCAGGGATGTGAAGTCAGCACCCCGCTCTCCGCCAATCTTCCCCTCAGAAGCTTCATTTGGTGGCACTGGAGCCATTTTTATCAAGGATAACTGGTGTAGGACACACCATACAGGTTTTTGACATAAAAATATATTTTTATTTTTCATTTTTATTCACTCATAATGCCTATTGCTAGTGTGTATAATGGACCATTTTTAAATCATAGCTAGGTCATAAATTGATGAAATCACACATGAAAGGTACATATACTTCCCCTCCACATAGTATACTATGCGCTGGTAGAATTCTTCCATAATATATATAATATTTTTTTGAATCTGCTATGACTACAAAACGTCTTTACAGGAGCTCTTGATTTTTCAAGTACAATATAAGGTTGATTTATAGATATTTTCATCCACATAATAGCAGGCAACAACAGTGTATTTTCTTAACAGGAAATAAGTATCTAATATTTTTATTATGCATAATTGTCAAAACCTGTGATGTGATATATGAGTCCTATCATCATAATTAAATGTTTTGGGTATTGTATATGACTGTTTTATTTGTTTATTGACATGACACTCCAACTCACAACATGTCTAAGGTAAATTTAGGTCTTTTAGTCTGGGAGAACAACTAATATTATTCATTATCTGGTTGCTCAACTTTCCAGGTAACATTTCATTTGAATTAAAAGTTGCAGTGGCGCCCCATCTTTTTTGTTTAACCTTATGATTGCTAGATAACTGAATTTTTTGCTATTTTAACTCATTTTGATAACTCGAACTCATAGTGCCTACTGACGAAGAGCTGCCGTTCGCAATGCACCTATTTTTCATAAAAGTAGGGCTGCATTATAAAATGGGAGTAGGAAAAATTATTCATTCGGAAAAGATGAGTTCAACAAAAAAACTATGTAAACCATAATTTTCTACTTACTGGAGCTATTGAACGTTCCAGAATTTGCGGTTAATTAGAAGTCATTATTTATTCGGGGCTGATAATGAAGAGAGAAATTTGACCCATTCTATAGTATTTTAGAATTATTGAATTTTTGCACATGGAGATTCGATAACATGAGTAACAATACTGTAAAGTTAGTTTTCCTACAAAAAATCCTGATTCATGAAACCCATTTCAATTTCGATAAAAACGCACGGCACTGTCCATAATGATGTTTCTCTTCCTAAAAACTGATCATATCAAATTCATACTAGTCCAAATTTGGTAAGAATCGCACGATTGATAGCTATTATAGCTGAGATATAGAGGAAGGAGGCATTTGAAGTGAGACATGCTGTATATTATTATATATATATACATATATCAATTCGTCTTTACCCTGAGTCTCCCCCTCGGTCTCCCCATGAATCACAAAAACCTGAACTTCGAAGTAAACACTCGAAACACTCGCGAAGTCTACCGCTACCGCAATTGGTTAAAATGTTCATTTCAGGAATCCCATTATAGGCTATATTTTCTACTGTGATATAATACAAAATATCTTCTCTACCCTTGAAAGTCTATACTTATGTGAAATACCCCGCTTCAAAAAAAATTTTTATATCGTCGACCGAAATGCGGCTTTTCGCCGGTTCCCCTTTTGCCGACAAACGTTTCACCTCACACCGCACCTATGACATCATCTGATGTTATTATTTATCATTTCGGAGAGGAGGATTCACGGTCATCGTGCTATACGTCCTTACTGGAATGCTAAAATTATCTTATAATTCCCACTCGATAATATAAAATAATGTATGGATATTGTGGACATAACAGTATAAAAGTTCCCAAGGAATAGGATGAAGAAACAGAAATGACGAAAAATGATATAGATAGCTGAAGTACAATAGTACAAACGTAAATGTGTCCTACTTTTTGAATCCCTCTGGTAAAATCTCAAAAACGCAAAATAAGCCTGTATTCCAATATTGAAACACAGTTTTCAGCATTCTCCGGTGAGGCCGCTAGGAATCGGTGTCGAAATGTTGGAAAACATGGGATCGCGCGCCCCCACTTTTCCCCCTCTAAAAATTTTTTTTTCCAAAAACAAAAAATACTGGGCTCTTCACAAAGGATGAACGGATGTTTCTCTGGAAGCGGATTTTGAGTTTTTGTCTCAGTTTTTTCAAAAAAAAATTCTGAATATACTCGAAAAAAGCAATGTTCATGATTTTTTTGCAGAATATCGGTGAATTTTTTCAAAATTCTGCTTCCAGAGAAACCTAGATATTTCAATTCTTCATCTCACCATATTTTTTGTTTTCCAAAAAAATCAATATTGAACAATGAAAAGTGGGGGCGGAGAAATCATGTTTTCATTGCACTGATGCACGGTGTATCCTCCTCTTAAACACCTTCAAATTGACGATATTTGAATATTTCAAAATAGTTGTTCACTTACATAATCTTGATCAGTCCATAAATCTTCTTCATAATAATAAAGACCATCATTGATAGCCTGTCCTAGCTCCTGGGTCATTTTAACACGCGTAGTCCAATCTCCCGTACGATCATAACCTTCATGCTTAGGTACTCTCGATGATTCAGTTGCTTCAGTCTGAGTCACGATGAGCAGTTTGTTCACATCTCTGTCACTGAGTTCATCCGAGTCATCATCAGGAGGCCTACGAAAATTGAATAGTTTCAATGTATTCTTCCAATTAGATGGTTTGGATCAACTGAAGTCAACTACGATTCTTCACGTTATGTCATTTCATTTTGGATCAGTTTGGTGAGCAGAATACTAAGAACACTTATGACGCATTCTTTTTGTGTCATTAAAATATCTAAACTGGTATAAAAAACGATTTTTCAAAAAAATATATATAAAGAATTATGGAATATAGAGGTACAGTACTGCCAAATAATTCGTAACGAATCTTGGTAGAATTAAAATATTTTTGTCTAAGCACATTGCCTAGAAAACGAACTCTGTTTCCTTCTTTAGCATTTTGACCTGCTTTGAACTGTAAAGGTATTAGGGTGTCCCCAGAGGTGTAACCACTCCAGCGCGAAAAATAACAATAATATACCTAGTTCTTCTACAATGAAAGAAATTAAAGTAAATTGCAGTGTGCAGTACATTCTATAATTTCAGATGCATGTATTATTATAATTATTCGTAGAATACAAATCTCTTGGAATAGAGATTTTTTTGTCGTCCTAACCGGAAATTATAGTAGAATGTGTAAATTCCAACAATCTACAATTCAAAAAGGAATATTCTCATTCAAATTATGAATATAAAAAAATTGATATACAGGGTGTTCCTTAATGACATGCTAATATTCAAGGGGGCGATTCTTGGACCCATTTCAAGAATAAAACTTCATATGAACGTATGTCGTAAAATTCCTAACTTTTGGGATACAGGGTATAAAGCTTTTCCTGATGACAAAATTTAGTCTGCTATGTGACTGCAACGGTGCAAAAATGTCAAAATGTTACATACTGTGGTTATCCAGTAATGGATGTGCAGAATGGAGTACTCAAGCTTAGCATTTATATAAAAATTTGAAGATTGATCTCGTTTTTTCGTTTCTTCTCGAAAACGGAGCGTCCTATCGGTAATCAACAATAGGATCTTTTTTGTACAAAATTGAATGACTTTTCAAAGGATTTTATTAAATTTGGAAATATTCCATCGTTGCTCACTTTCAAGTATAATATAATCAATCATATCCCCCTAACGGCGCCACTGGTAGAGAGAAGGAAAATTTGTGTACATCTGAAAATGCACCTTTATGCATAGAAGATATGTACCAAATTTCATATAGAATAGAAGATATGTACCAAATTTCATATAGATGTCTACAATATTATCACAGTTATTATGAAAAAACTGTTTGTTTTTCAAAACTTCATCACCTTGTATCTCAAAAGTTAAGGCTTTTAGGACACACGTTAGTGGGAAGTTTTTTCTTGAAATGAGTTAAAGAATCAATCCCTTGAATATTAGCATATGTCTTTAAGGAACACCCTGTATATACATATAAAGAAATACATTGAGAATTCGCATTCTCTATGTGATGAAAATATCAATTCTTTCTTGGTTTATTCAACAGGTATACCTACTGAATAAATTCATTTTTAGCCTAACCAGCGTATATACAGTCGTCTTCAGAAAACATGTCGCACATGGACGATGCTAGCATTCTTAATAACTCCTGCAATAAGAGCGCTGACACTGTTCAACCGCGACATGATCTCTGAAGACGACTGTACATCAGAAAAGTAGGTGCAAAGTTTAAAATCGTTTGATCTCTGAAAATGACCGCCAGTGACCTTGGGCCACCTAATAAGAATATTAAGGTGGCGCCTTCGCTATCATTCTGTAGATGTCGCTATGTATAAATGTAGTCAAAGTGTACTAGATCATGCGTTTCTCTGTTTTAAACCATGGGCGTGCCACGTTTTTTTGGACGGTAGCACTGGAGTTCCTCGTGTTATCAAGAATTTTATCAATATCTTATCGTATGTGAAGTTTTTTTCTTACTATGAAGGTCCGTCATCAAACGGTCAATACAAAAATTCTCTCGTAATTCGGAAAATTAGATTCAAGACAAAACTGAATAAGTATTCAGATATTAATGGTACATTGTCAAAAATTATATGAATATTATCAAGTATGATATATTTTGTGTAGGGATATATTGCTGGTTGAATCTGTTCTCCTGTTTTATAGAAAAAAAGTACCTATAATTTTTCTGAATGATCTTTCATAAGTAACCGACAATCACATTATATAAATTTTGTCATTTTTTCTCAAAAACGATCTTTGTAGAGTTAACAATGTATGCCTTGTATAGGTGAAATAATCATAAAGTAGAAACTTATGTTTAGGATTATACAGGGTGAGTTATTACCTCGGTCATAACTATTGGGACAAAGGCTAAGGGCGGGTTGTTTGGACCAAAATATGGCAAAAGGACCAAATATGCCATAATAAAATATTGCTGTGGAAAAAGATACAGGGCGTTTCAATCGGAAACGTATTGATTATAAACTCGCAGGAAAATTAATTCACTGACAAGAAATGTAATTTACCAGCAACAATTATCTAACAATCCAAATCACACTCTTCACAGTCACAGCCCAATGACATCATATTACTCACGTTTATTGACGTCAGACATCGAAATGACGTCAATATGACGTGCATTTTGTGTGATGAAACGTAAAAAAGTTTCCTCAAACATAGTGTGATGAACACCACTGACCTCTGATGACATCTTATATTGACTAATGCATTGTTGAGACTGCTTGGTGGCTCTTTCGGTGTCATGTCCATTTAATCAGAATTAGATCAGTCGTATTTGTATAAAAAATTATGTATTTTTTGTTGGCGAGATGTGAGCAAACCAAGAAAAGTTCGATAGCAATGTACAGGATTTTGACGAATTCAGCTTCACTTTGTTGAGTAACGTATTTTCATGCATTCTTTGTCACCCAAAAAACTCTGAATAACATATTTTTGACAAAGCCCATCAAATTGGTTTGTCAGACCGACGTGATTTTTAGACGTCATAGATACATCACTGCAATTTCATGAAAAGGACGCTTACAATAGGTACACCTATTGTCATTTGTATATATATACAAATGATAACTTCCCTTCCTTCCAACTCCACTTGTATACACAGAGTGTGTCGAACTCGATGGCCTATAACACGTTATTGGAGAACGGAACATGGAATTATCCTGAAAATCGAATGCCTTGGGGAATTAGTTCTGCTCAATCAATCTAAAAATATTTTCAATGCTGTATATTATTGCCTTCTTAGATTCTCCCTGAAGAGCAGACTCAATCGGTCTATTACACTAGGGGTCGAGAATGATTATAGTGGTATATACAGTGTGGAAAATCGAGATTCCTCAACTTTAAGAAAGGTTTGAACTGCTTTTATGTCCCTATCTAAACTTTTCATTTGAGATCAATTGATATTTAATTGGATCATATACAAGGTGATCAAAATTTTGAATTACCACCATGTATGTATTTCTATTAAATGTCAGTAGATAGTGAATCAGAATTTGAGATAGGGACATGGAAGCCGTTTTTACCAATAATTGATAGTTTCGACATATAAAATTACTGAATTTGGAATATCTGGATTTTTCACACCCTATATATCTCTAATCATTCCCAATGTGTGATAGATCGGTGAAATCCGCTCTCCAGGGAGATTCCAGAAATACAATCGAATACAGGGAGTTACATTCGAAACAACATTATTGTCACTTGTCGATAGAAGCGGCAACGTCGAAGCACTGAAAATATTTTAAATCAATAGAACAGAACTGCTTATCCGAGAAACCAAACTTTCAAAACGATCCTATGCCCCGTTCTCCAGAAACGTTCAATAGGCCATCGAGTTTGGGACCCTGTGTATATACATACATACCGAACTATAGAGAAACTTGACGTTGACACGACGTTCCTGCAACGTCATGAAAATGACGTCACAATTCACACCCATAATAATGACGTGATAGAAAGTATGTCGTAGTGACGTCAGAAATTGGTGTGTGACGTCTCTGACGAAAAATCACCAATTGGGTACGTCACAGTGACGAGACCATTCGTCATCTGGTTGCCTGGGACAATACCAAATATTCAAATAAACAATGTAATAATAAAATTACGTCTACACCACTGCTTATCACGAAGAAAGGACTCAGAAAACACACAAAATGGCTGTCCTGAAATTATTTTACATAGTTGACAGATTCACGTGTCCATTGGACTAAGATTATATTATTGTCCACGATAATAACATCAAATTCACGTTGATACCGTCATAAATAATGTGATATTTTCATTTTGAAATAAATCAATTATTCCATATTATATTCAACAGCACTCAACATCACTTATATCGTCCTCTGCCTCATTGAAATATGGTAATCTTGAATATTCCTGTTGAAGAACTTCTGGTATAATGCCATCTCGGCAAAGTTTTTCCAAGTCCTTAAACTTTTTCAAACTAATTGGATTCTTTCCTGATTAGGCCTTTGGTTCAACGATATACTTACATATTCAAGCCACATTCTGATGTAAAAAGAAGCAAAAAGGTTCCAAGCAGTGCACTCAGTGTGGCGCTTACCACCTCAGTGCACAACATTCTTTAGGACAGGTGGCCAGGTAGCCGTGCGGACAGAGTGTCTATATTCTAATTCGCATTCGCTTGCCGGTCGTGGGTTCGATCCCCGTCGACTGCAGAAATTTTTCTGATGGCCCAAGAAAGTGTTTGGGATCACACGTTAAAAGGTAAGGCCCCCGTCATTCTTTGCTCGCACAAGACTTTCGAAGACTTTTGAGGGTTGCTCGTAAGGGGGCAACCGAATGACGGATAGAACAAATTTTAGAACAAATTTTTAAATAAGGGGCCAACCACTGTCGACAGGCACCTTTTTGCTCTCATTTCTGTTCAATTCTTGGCGCTTGGATCCACGGGTATATTTGCAGTGGATTGTCTGGCGCTTGACACGTTAATGCACATTTATAAATGAGCTTTTGAAATGGCGTTTGGCGGAAGCTCTCTTTTGCTCTACAGGCGCGCTATGTATTTTTCAATTTATGGAATCTCCATAAAAAGGGTTTGTATACAGTGCGTCCAATAAA